TTTAGAGCTGGAAGGGAAATGAAGAATTTATCTGTGAATTCCTCAGCACAAAGCTTCCTCTGAAGCTTTCTGTTTCTGATTTCGGTGCAGAGAAATCCCGCTCGCTGCCCCGTCCACGTTTTTGTCTCCCTCTTTACCAGTTCTTCTCTTCTTCCTTTTGTCACTGTTTCCTTCATTCCTAGTTCCACCTCCCTGTGACCTCCCTTACTTTCTCTCCCATAACTGGCCAGGGCTCCTCAGTTATTTGTGAAGTTCTGCGTGGAGGGGAAGACAGAAGAGGCTACAGGACAAGCCTGGCCCATAGGCGGAGGGGTCAGGAGGTCCTAGCACTTGCGTCTCCCTCTGTGACATGGGCATCGTCCCCAGTGCTCACCTGAGAGCAGTGTGGGGACTGACTGGGAGAGGAGGTTTGGTGAATGGTATGCAGATGTCAGCTATTATTGTTCAGTCAAGTCTTGGTTTTACCATTCTTTATTAATTTTTTATTAGCTATGGCTGCTATGCTTTGTTTGAAAGTTCAGCATGTTCCATTCCCAGTTGGATGCTTAAAACACATGAAAGAAAATAGAATTCTCTTTGAATGTGTTTACTGGTTGCCATCTCCCTGCCCCGTGCCCAGCACATTGCAGGGGCAGACCAACAGCCAGCCTTCCCTCTTCCCGCTCAGCTCTCCCACCTTGGCTCTCAAGCCTTGGTTTTCCTAACAGATTAATGCTATTGGACTCTGGAAAATGCATCTCTCGTTTTAGGGAACTGGTACGCAGTTATCACTATGAGATAGGCCGGCAGGCTGGAGACCCAGGGAAGAATCCGTGTTGCAGTTCAGGACTGAAGGGTATCTGCTGGCAGATATGCTTCTTGCTCTTTGTTCTAGCAAAGGTTCCACTGTTTGGACGAGGCCCACCCACATTGTGGAGGGCAATCTGCTTTACTCAAAGTCCTCTGATTTGAATGTGAACCTCAGCCAAAAAATACCTCCACAGAAACATCTAGAATAATGTTTGACCAAATATCTGGGCACTGTGACCTAGGCAGGTTGACACATAAAATGAACCATCACAGGTGCCTTTGTTGGTGATCATTATTTCTAATGGCCTTGTCTGGTTTCTATATCTGATTATCCACTTCTTTAAATTCTCTTTGGGGACTGACTATCACTGCCCAAGTTCCTGCCACTCCAGAGTTGGGCTAAATTTTTTATTTACACTTGCCTCACAGGCCACTGCCCCCACAGTCAGTTCTGGGCAGACAGACTGGGCATGCTCCTGCTGGCTCCCTGCAGCCCTCCCTCACCCTCCAGTAACCCCGCTCTGTGTGCTGAGAGGCCCAATGAGTGTGGAATTGAACACTTTCAGTCTTGGCTACATTAATATCGGCATTTTCCACATCAGTATTCCAAGTGAAGGAAGCTAAATTAGATTTCAGCAAAACAAACAAACAAACAAACAAAACCCCTATCTGACAGCAGAGGAACGGGACAGCTTAGGCTGCAGGTAAGGAGATCTCTCGGGAGCTAGTACAGTTCACTGAAGGGGTTGGACAGAGACAACGGAGGCAACAATGAGTGCGTGCACCGGGAGGTGCTAAAAGGGTGCAAGAGGGAGAGTGTACAGAGAAGGTACTTAGGCAGCAGGACGTCGTGATCAGTTGGGTTAAGGAAAAGTCTAGTCAGGTATGGATACCTAGTTTCTGGTTAGGGCAACCAAAGGAATGGCAGTGCCATTGAACAGTGGGGCTTGAAAAGGAAGAGTGGGTTGGGGAGGGATATAAGTTCAGTTTTGGACAAGTTAAACCTAAGAAACTGCTGAGCCAAACCGGCCAGGGCTAAACCTAAGAAACCTTTGGGACAGCGGGTGGTCAGGTCCTTACCCTGACTCTAATTTTAGTCCCAGAAGAACAACTCCAGAGTTGAGAATCCTGGAGAGATTGCTAACATGGAGTTTATGGTAGGAGACAGTTTCAAAGAGAAAGTGGTCAATAGGGTCAGAGGCAGAGAGGAGGAGAAAGCCTAAAAACTGCTCCTTGGTGCAGCCAGAGTATAGGTAAGTCTTTGAGGAAGCTAATCTCTGAAAAAATAGTGTAGAAGCTAGAGGGGCACTTTTAACAGCTTTATTGCGGGTATAACTGACATGCTGTACATAGGATATATTTTAAGTGTACAATGTGATAAGTTGTGACTTATCAACAATCAAAATAATGAGCGTATCCATCGTCCCCCAAAGTTTTCCCCTGCTCCTTTGTGATTCTTCCCTCCAGCCTCTCCCCTGCCACCCCACATCATTAGGCAATCACAGATCTGCTTTCAGTCACCATAGTTTCACTTTTTAGAATTTTATACAAATGGAATATCATATGCACTCTTTTTTCTGGCTTCTTCCATTATAGTATTCAATTATATGTACATACCATAATTTGTTTATAATTCACCTAGTAATGTATATTGGTTTTCCAGTTTTGTGCCATTACAAATAAAATTTCTATCCACATTTATGCATAAGACTTTGTATGGATATACTTTCATTTCTCCTGGGTGAAAACCTAGATACGGAATGGCTGGGTCACATAGCAGCTTTTAGGAAACTATCAAACTGTTTTCAAAGTGGCTGTGCTGTTTTACATTCACATTGGTAGTGTGTAAGACTTCCAGTTGCCCCACATCCTTTCTAACACTTTGTATGGTCAGTCTTTCTAATTTCAGACATTCTGATAGCTGCGTGTGTGTGTTTTTTTAAATTTATTTTATTGTTGAGAGTATTAAAGCTGTCCCCCATTTTTCCAATTTGCCCCTGTCCACCCATCTCCCATCCCACCCCAGGCCTTCACCTGTTTTTAATTTGCATTTTCCTACTGGCTAATAACACTGGTCACCTTTTGTGTACTTATTTTTCATCTGTACATCTTCTTAGGTGAAATGTCTGTTCAAATGTTTTATAATCTAATCTTGAAGTGACACTCCATCATTTACTATTTGTAGCTCTTTGACCATATTGTATTTGTCAGAAGTGAATCAGTAAATTTGGCCCATATTCAGTGGGAGGGGATTACACTAGGGCAGGGCTGCCAATGACAGATGGCTTCCCATTTCTCTTGGAATAAAATTTAATCTCCATGTCCTGGTCTACAAAGGCCTGCAAGGTCTAGCCCTGCCTTTTCGTTTGTCTGGTATTTGGACATGCTGAGCTCGTTGTGCTTGTAGAGCCTTCGTAGTCGCTCTTCTCCCTATGTGGGATGCTTTTATGTCAGATTTCCCATGGCTAATTGCTCGTCAGTCAGGTGTCAGTTTATAAATTACTTCCTAAGAAAAATCAACCTCAATCACCCAATCAATCAAGGTAGCCTCTCAATCACTCCTTATCACACCACCTGATTAAATCTTTATGTGGCCCTTATACTACCTGATAGAATGTAGGCCTGAGTGTGGCAGGAAACTTATCTCATTCATCATTATGTATCCAAAGCTTAGAACTAGAAAGTTTGTGTATGGGTGTTGTTATGAATTCAGATATTTATTATGATGTCTTGAAGCCCTAAGCTAGATTGTGTGAAAGATTCCATCCCATACCACAGGAAATATCTCCACAGTTAAGTATGGTTAATACATATATAAAAAGCATAAGATTTGTATACACAATTGGGACATTTCATCAAGAGGAAGAGGAATATGGGAGAAAAGCAGAAAGAAAGATTATGAGCGAGGGAGATTTAGTCACAAGGTGAGGGAGGTTTTGGGGTAGCTTGACAGGGACAACTACCTGAACCAAGCATTTTACTCAAGTAGTTCTTATTTAGCTAGGGTCAGAGCAGGTGACTGAAGTCCTTGAAAGCAGGGCTTATGTTGAGAATTTTGATACATCAGTTAATCTGGACCAAATGGACTCGATTGGGAGGACTCAGAAACGGCTCCAGCTATGCTCCCTGGAGTAGCTTCAGATTTTATCCAGGGCCTCTGTCTGATTAGGAGGGGATTGCTATGTTTATTGTAGCACCTAACATAGGAGCCAGAAACGTAAATTTTCCATATCAAAGAATGGGAGGCAGTGTCGGAAATATCGGGGTGTTCAAACCTCCCCACTGATATTTACTGTGACTCCTGCATGCTGCCACGCTTTCTCTGGGGCACAGCTCTGGGAGCTGAACTGTAGAGAGGGTACAGCCGGGTGCGATGCTCCTTACACCCCTTCCTCTTCTCAGCAGCCTTAACGAGCACCTTCCAACCACCAAGTGCGTGGACACAGGCATAAGGCGAAGGGGATTTTCAAACCGGTGGTGCAGAAAGAGCGGCTGGGCATCGGAGCTGGAAAGCTGGTGCTGTCACCAGTGCTGGGCGCTAGGAATCTTCACTTGGTTTTCGTGTCTCTGCTTTTCTATGGGCAAACTGTGCAATGGTTCAAGAGCAGTTCTCAGCGGGCCAGCCACGTCCGAGGCGTGCCGCGCGGACACGAGCCCGGCTCCAAAGCCGGAGTCCCACGAAGACACCCCACGGTCCCTAAGGATCCCTCCAACCTGGGACGTTGGAGGCCTCCGCCTGGACAAGGGGGCGCCACCCCGACCGGGCCTCCCAAGTCTGTCCCGCTCGGTGCCCCAACCTCACCGAGGGCCAACTCGTCCCTCAGCCGTCAGCTTACATTTCACTTCTCAGATGCCGGCCGGGTGCCCACACCAACCTTACCCTCACACTGTTTCACTGTCATTTCACTCATGTCTGCCCCTCCACCGCCCGCCACGACGGCTACTGCGGGGGTCACGGTGGCCCTGGGCACGGGCGTTGCGGACCGACAGGTGAAGCCCAGGCGCACAGAGAAGGAACAAACACGCGGGCGCGCCCAGCCGGGGCGTGACGTCCTCTCCCGCAACTTCCGCCCCTGCCCGCTCCTCCGGGCGCCCCCTTCTCCTTGTCTGTGTGTGTTTCCGGCGTTTCAATAAAGCTCGATTCGGCTCGAATAAGACCAGTCCTTCCGGGAAAATGGCGACTCCCGCTCGTGTGGCGGAGTCCCCGCCGGCCGCGGATCCGGCGTTGGCCGCGGGGGCTGCCCCGGGAGCCGAGTGCCCGCCGCCGCGCCAGCCTCAGCCCCCGCAGAATGTGCTCGCTGCCCCGCGGCTTCGAGCCCCAAGCTCCCGAGGACTTGGGGCAGCGGAGTTTGGCGGAGCTGCGGGAGATGTTGAAGCGCCAGGAGAGACTTTTGCGCAACGAGTAAGCTTCAGTCCCGCCGAGTCACCGCCAGGCTCTTTCGGTTCGGGCTCCCTGGGCGCGGCCCTCCCTCCCCTCCCCAGCCCCACCCGCTCTCCGGGAAGGTGACCTTGCCTGGGCCGTGCGGCCGGCCCCGCGGCGCGCGCACGGCCTGCAGCCGCGAAGCCGCCCGCCCTGGCCCCGCGCGGCCGCCGTGGGTCGGCTCGGCTCTGCCGAGCGCGCCGGAGCGCCCCCGCCCCTCCGAGCCCCGCGCTGGGGTTCTGGACTCGCTGAAAACGAGGGTTTGCACCTAAATCCTTCTGTTCCCGCCCCCAAATCGTGCCCCAAACATCTTGTCCGCTCCATCTCTAGATTTTTTGTTTTTTTGTACGAGGGCCCTTGGAAATGGAAAGCGGGTTGTGAAGTGGTGCATTAGGCAGAGAAGTTTGACTCTCAGTCGGCGGACCCCGTGGATTTTAGCAGGGGCGCGAAATAATCAAGATCGTGATCGTTGAAGGAAGCCTAAGTTAGCTTGGTACAGGGTGCTTGGAAGGAATGAGGCAGAGAACGGTAGGAGGGTATTTTCAGAGAGGTTTCCCAACAGGGACGTGAGCTGGAAAAGGAGTTGTGGGGGAGACTGCAGCAGACTTGGGATCGTTTGAATAGGGAGTTGGCAGAGTTAGCTGAGGGTTTGTAGCCTGTAAGGAGAACCATTAATAAAAAGTAGGACAGTTGGGGGAGGGGAGTAGACCCGAGGTCGGTTTTAGTCGGGGTGAGCCGAGTTGACAGGAGAGTTAATTATATCTACTTAAAAGCTGTGTTCACGAGGCTCAAGAGAGGAGAAAGCTAGGAAAATACAAGAATTTTAACTGGAGGGGATGTTAATAGTGGAAATTGTGGGAATGAATATAGTGTCAGAGAAAGAATATATGGCCTGAGATGTAACCTTCCCTCCCCATTTATTGTATGGTTAAAGCAACCGGGATCAGAAAAGAAACTCGCACTCAGCAAAAGGGACAAATGATCACTTGGGGGCTTTTCAGTAGACACAAGTATTTTGACCTGTGAGAATGAGTTTTTAATCTATAGCAGCGGATTAACTCTTTGGTCTCAGGGCCCCTTTCTAGTCTTAAGACTTAATAAGTATCCCAGAGAGCTCTTGTTTTATGTGTTATCTGCTTATACTTGTCAATGCATTAGGAATTACAAGTGAGCAATGTTAAAACAGAAGAATACACAAACACACATTCTGTTAGCCAGCAGAGCTAGGCTAGTCACATGTCCTGTGGTTTCTGGAAAACTCCACTGTACCCATGTGAGAAATGATAATGAAAATGGCAAATAATATCTTAGTATTATTATTAGGAAGATACTTTGGCCTTGCAGACCCATCTACCTCCCTTCCCCAGGAAGGTCTTGTAGATCATACTTTAAGACCCGTTGATTTCTGGAATGTCTTATGTAAGTGCTATATGCCTAAAATACTTTTGTTGAAATTCTAATTGGATGAGACAAATGAGGCATATTACCTATTCTCCCTGGATCCCCTTGTTTTTTTTTGGGGGGGGGCAGGTATTTGGATAATTACATTTCCTGCTTTAGGGCAGTTAAAAATCAGATTTTTAACTTAAAGGTTTATTTTTCTCCCTTTGAAGATAATACTTTGTCTTTGTATCTCAAGTTTAAAAACATGGCTCTAATGTATACATGTTCTTTTCCATTTGACAGAAAATTCATTTGCAGATTGCCCGACAACGGTAAAAAGATCTTAGACTCTGTTGCCAAACTGAAAGCTGCCATTGCAGAACGTGAAGAAGTTAGAGGAAAAAGTGAACTGTTTCATCCTGTTAGTATAGACTGGAAGCTAAGGCAAAACGCAGTTGCAGTTGACGTGAACACAGATAAGGCCCAGAATTCTGACCAGATACTTGATACTTCATCACTAGTTCCTGGCTGTTCTTCTGTAGACAACATCACATCATCTAAAACAACCTCACAACAGGGACTTGTACATTCTAGTCACATAGGTGATGAAGAGGCTCCCCAAGTTGGGTACACAGTGAACAGGTGCCCAGCTTCCAGCAGCAGAGCCAGTACGCCTTCCTCCCCCAAAGCTAGTGAGTGTCTCCCTCAGCATCGTGTGTCAGATCAAGCAGAAGATAATTGTAGCACCTCCGACAACCTGTTTATTGATAGGTTACAAAGGATCACAATTGCAGACCCAGATGAACCCTGTTCAGAAGAAAACACGAGGACTGAGAAGTTGAAAGGCCTTCGTAGTGGGACACAGAAGAAACCTCATTACATGGACGTGCTAGACATGCGAGCTAAAAACCCACTGCCCCCATCACGTAGATTTAAAACCAATGTGTAAGTACCATTGGAAATAGACTGTCACAGGAACACAATATTTGTTAAACTCAAAAAATTGAGAGAATGTTTTAAGTTCAGTGGACTTTGTGCGAGAACTGCTTATAGTCAGGAATGAGTCGTATTGTGGAAACAGTGAAGACCAGCCTGGCTGGAGTGGAGGATTCATGTTGAAAAATACTTTAGTATTTAGGCCAAATAATTGAAAATATTTTAAATAGATGGAGTATTAAATTTCAGGATACCGAGCCAATATTTCATAATAAACAATTTATTATGACTTTTTTCCCGAAACATTTTTTGGTATACAGCTCCCCCTTTGATTAGACTGTCAGCTGAGGAAAAAGCAATTGCAGGAGCTGATAGACTTTCTCAGCAAAAAATGTTTGCGTGCTCACTGGATGAGCAGCAGGTGCTGTGGTGATACAGAAGTAAAGATTCAGCTCATCAGAGAGTTTAGGATCTAGATGAGGACCCAAGACTTCCACACTTGGAAGAATGTTAAACTGCTAAGAACAACTTTAGGGGGAGGAAGCTGAGAAGGGATTAAAGAAAACAAAACAGATTGGGTCTGGAGGTGCAAACTAACCCTGCTCATGAGTTCTGTTTCATAGTTTTGTTTCTGAGCTCTCCAGAGAGAGAAAAGTTCTTTGAAGGGAAAAGAATGTTACTTACTTGTATGTAAATGTGACATTCATATCAGGGAGTAGCCACTGGTAGCAGCTTGGATTTACTAGGCTGTAACATCAGATACAAAATTGAACCATTACTCCATTTTTTGAAAAAAATGAAGACCTCTAGTTAAAAATATCTAAAATCATTTTTATTATTATAAAGAGACTTTAAAGTTTAATTATACCCCAATTTAACCTCAAGACATTGTATTTCTTTCAACTAGAAAAACCAAGATTATGTTACATTAGTTTTTAGTTAGGAATACAACGTTATCTTTGACTAAGTAACCTCTCATCTTGTGTGTGAAGAAATAATTTGTTGTTACTGCTAGGAAAACAGGAAATAAGCATTATCTAGTCAGTAAATATAACAGAAGACCCTGATCCCAGTTTTGAATTAGGGTCATTTAGCTAAAAGTGGGGTGGGGGTTGGGGGGAGGGAAAGGGAATAGCCGTGAGGGCTCTGAGGGTTAAGGAAGTTGAAAAGAAAGATTTGAGCAGTTAGAGCTGAGTAGGAAAGGCTAGGCCTTGAGTCAGTAGGCCAAAGGCTGATAGGGGTTGTGGGGAACTTGAGCATGGCTTGGAGGTTGGAAAGTGGGATAAAGTAATGTCCTTGGGCTCCTGTCCTGCTTCTCCCTTGGCCTACATGTTCTGGCTCTATTACCACCTGGATGCCAGAGGCTGCCCCTCCTCTACCTCTAGCTCAGGTCTTTCTAGAACTTCAGATTTACATGGCCAGTTAACCTATGAAATGTGACTGTGTGGGTGTGCCTGGCACCTCGGCGTTATCCTGTACAAAGTGGAACTCGTTTCTTCCCAAGCTGACTTTTTCCCATAATCCCTAAATTACTAGTATCACCTTGTTTTTTCCCCCAAGGTGTCTTCCTTTTCCTCGTCTCCATTACTTCTAGCCATGAAGACCTACATAATACATTTCCTTGACCTTCATCACTAATCATTCTTCATCCTCCTAAGGGAAGGCTGTCAACTCTCTCTTGGGCTCTAAATATGGTCTAAGTCTTAACTCTTTACCGGTCCATCTACACTGCTGCCAGAGTAAAATTTGTAAAATGCACGTCGGAACCCGTCACACAGAATAGCACTCTTCCCTATGGTCTGGACCAGCCTACTCCCTGGGTTTGTCTGGCTGCCTTTTCTATGCTCTTCCCCCTGTACTTCCTGTGAGCTGCAGCCATGTGCCTCACTCCCTGCTGGGATGCCTCCTCCCCTCGTTCACATGTGAGCACTATTCCAGGACTCCTCCAATTTCACTGTAGTGAGGTTTTTCTGACAACCACCCTGTCTCCCATTAGAACTGGCTGTTTTTTCATGTTCCCATGTGCCATGTATAGATGTGAATCATGGTACCTATGGTATTACACAGGGTAGGGCAAAAGTAGGTGTACAGTTGTTCATATGGAGAATAGTGCAATAATTAGTAAATAATACAAGGAAGACTGTTTCGTGTACTCACAACTGTAAACCTGCTTGTGTCCCACCCTGTATTGCACTGACATGGTTGACAAATTTATTTCCCCTCTACTGGACAGTAAGCCCTTTTGCAAATGTTTTGAATGAAAAGGTCACTTCCGTTCAAGTATAAGGTTTGAAGAGGGAGGGAAAGGGCAAAGAGCAACTGTTGAGGCCCACTTGGGTGTGTGTGCGTGTGGTAGGTGTATGTCTGTAGAAAGAAGGCATAACCAAGTTTACTCTCCTTCAGGTTACCTGCGCAGCAGAACGATTCATCTAGTCCTCAGCAAAGAAGAGGGTCTCCTGTCCCGTCCGAGGAAAGGCGGCGCAAGGAGAGGCAGCATCTTGACGACATCACCGCAGCTCGGCTTCTACCCCTTCACCACATGCCTGCACAGCTGCTCTCCATGGAGGAATCTCTGGCGCTTCAGGAGCAGCAGAAACAGAGTTATGAGGTATTTAAGAGGATTAATTATTTCCTGTCTGTATGTTGGATGTTGCCTGCCTACATAAGTCCAAATTTACGTCAGGTAGTTCAAGGAGGACGGGATTTAACAGAGGGATGAGGTGCTAGAAAGTGGTCGGTGAATGCCATTAGCTCTCAGATGTGTGCCTCTAGTTTTCAGAGTCTTGAAGTTGCCAGACCTGCAGGAAGCAGCTGGAGGTGATCACAGCTACCTGCAACGTCCAGATGGTGTTTGCCAGGAAATGGGAAACCCCATGCTGTTAGGGTAGCAGTCGTCTCACTTCTCGTGTCTTCCACCTGTAAAACCCACGAGAGAGCTGCTCAGTGGACTCTAACCGAGAGCCCTGCAGAGAGAATCAGGGCAATGTGGCTTCCGGCTTCCATCTCCTGAGACACATGGGAGAGCATAAAAGGGGTGGGGGGACAGCATTGCGTTGTCAACAGACAACTGGGCACCAAGCTTAAAAGGCTAATCTGCAGGCCCTTGTGAAGATAGAAGAATCTCCTACGTACAGTGACTTAATCAAGTTTGTGTAGGACTGTCTTCAAATCTGTATGTTCTACATAGAACTTTAAACATGTATATTGACCATTTGTGTACAGAAAATGAGATGGAAGAAAATATGTGTTAGACCCATAGTGAGAAAAGAAAGGGTTCGATAGAGTTAGTAATAATTTGAGCTTCCAAGAAAACAGCAGCCTAGCTTCCTAATATTGCTTAGTTAGATTTTTATCAGGTATTATACACCAGTTACTACAAAACCAGGCTGCTATTCTGCCTTGGCTTTTCATAAAAGCTCAGTTGGCATGGATTGGCATTTTCAAGGTACCCCTTTTTAAAATATCTTTTTTTTCTTTAGTGATTTTAGAGAGAGAGGAACATGGAGAGAGAGAGATAGAAACATTGATTGGCTGCCTCTTGTATGCCCCCCACTGGGGATCGGCCCACGACCTGGGCATGTGCCCTGACCGGGAATCGAACTGGTGACCTCTTGGTGCATGGGTCGATGCTCAACCAGTGAGCCACACGGGCCGGGCAAGGCACCTCTTTTTAAAGCCATTTTTCTTCCTCTCAGTACATTAAAATTATTGCTTGCTTACAACTATAGCATTGAGGAATAGTTTTTCAAATGGTCTATATCGTCTTAAATGCCTGTCCTACGACATTTTTAGGTTGAATTACACCCTTCAGTTTGAAGTTGACTTCCTTGGCAGAGTCGTAGTAGCTCCCGCTTCAGTTCTACTTTGCCATAGTATTCATGGCCTGAGGGGACCGACCTAAAGAAGTTCAAGTGGTATAGGAGAAAGCATGAGAAATGGGAAGAGCTGAACTAGAAATGAGCATTGCCGCCTGCCATCAGTCAGTAATATCCTTGTGCGTACAAGCACATTGCCAGTGTCTGGAATTTACTTGGACATTTTGCTGCATAGTAATTTCCATGGGACCTTGTTTGGAGAAGGATAGCCAGCTTTTTAGTATTGATTTTTTGGTTTTCATTGTGGCATTGAAATGTAACTCATAAGCCTAGAAGCCATGATTTAATCTAGGAAATATGATTGTCAGTTGGAGAATCAGCACAGCATTAGTGATTTTTGACATTTGATAGCTCAGATTGTTCTATGAGTTTGTATATACACAAGTGTTGCCCACGTACTTAAAAATATGTTTGTGTCTATAACTACTGTAGTGCTGAGCTGATTACTCAGTTTCTTATGAAGAGGTGAGATGTTTCCATGCACTTGATTAATGGACGTCTGTGTCTACAGCTGTAGCAGGCTAGTAGCTCTCACAGCATCGCCCTGTTGTGTGCAGTAGACATGGCCATCAGGCTCACTACGTTGCTGTAGAGTGCTATGTGGAGTGGCATGCCCCTTTATTTCTGATACTGTTTGAATGACTTCCCATTGAAAAATTATAAGGAAAAGATGAGTGTGTGTAACTTTTTGCTTTATGTTTTATTTTAAAGGAGATGCAAGCCAGGCTCGCAGCACAAAAACTAGCTGAAAAACTGAATATTAAAATGCAGAGCTATAATCCAGAAGGGGATACTTCGAGGAAATACCGAGAAGTAAGGGATGAAGAAGACAATCAGTCCTCTGATGGTGAATTCTGAAGATGGATGTTGGGATACTCTTCTAACTCTCTGCCTGTTGAGATGTCATTTTCTTACATCAGACTTTCTAACAAGTATCAAGATCAGTGTCAGACGTTGAGGGAATGAATTTTATAAAGTTACACAGCAGTAGCTATAAAAATAGTTTGTCTTTTAGAAGATAACTTTCATGTACTGGAAAAGTTTAATATTTGAATATTGTGTTTAACCACATTGTATTAAAGTTTTGCAGTATGTTGTGTGTTGTCTGATATTTTAGTATATAGTAGAGCACATTTTTTTTTCTCTAAGTCAAATGAAAGCAGGTAACTGCATTTTCCTCTTCTTTTACCTCTATCAAATTGCATTTATTACATGCCTTTCAGTGAAATACTTAATTGTGCCATGCCTCACCTAAAATGAGTTAGGAAGATACAGTTCCCTCTTTTGAGTGATGAAGGAGCAGTCCAAAGAATTTTATGCATGGGGTTAATGAGGGATGCGAAATGCCTAGGAAGGCACGCATATAAATGCTTAAATACGTGTTTTCTTCTGTCATCCCTTGGAAGAATGTGACCTTTCTTCTGACTATGAATAAGCAGTACAGTTGACCCTTGAACAATGCGGGGGTTAGGGGTACAAACCTGCTCAGTCAAAAAATGGGTGTAAACCATGTATTTCAGTCAGTGCTAGAGAGTGGATGGTCTCTAAATGACCAGCTTTGCCCAGAGTAACATGAGGTACAGGAAAATCTAAGATGACTGATGAAGGGGAAGGGAGTAGCTATTCTTATGCTTGACCTGACTTGAGTTCATTGCTCTTAACAGATGATCAGTTCATTTAGGTAAGAAAACCAGTTTTTTTGCTTTTAAACTACAACTGAAGTATTGTCAACACATCATTTTATTTTCCTCCCAAAGAAGCATCCTTACATGGACTGCAGAAACCTCAATCTATATATACATGTTTATAGGATATGATTGTCTCCAGAGAAATTAACACTTATGTTATCAAAGATTTCTTTAATATGTTGGAGCCTTTAAACAGTGTTGAAAGCAAGAATAAAATATTAATCAGAGCAACTTCAAAATGTTAATGGTGATGTTTTACTGGTGCTTAACTTTTCAGGTACATAATTTGCTGGAAAGTACATTTGTTGGATGTAAATGTGAGGAAGGGCTCGGTTCTGGGTCGTGTACTTCCAGGTGCAGCCCCTGCTTTTACCCCTCACCACCCCCAGAAAAGCAAATTAAAACTATACTGAGAGAACCATTTCATTAGTGTTAGTTTTTAAAATGAACAGGAAATGATTTGACAACATAAAATTATTTGATTTTTTTTTGTTGTTACAAAATGAAATAATACGTGTTATTTCTGGAAAGTTGGATAATGTGGAAGGGTTCACGTGCATATACACAAAATCCCTGTAATTCTGCTACCCAGAGAGCTGTGAACACTTGGGTATATGTACTTTAACATATTTTTTTCTATGCATAGCTATCCATTTATATTTTCAGTAGTGCAATCACACTATACATTAACTCACAGTCTGCTCGATATATTACAAACATTTTTTCCCATATTATGTATTTTGCATTTTAGATAGCTGTAGAATATGGCATTTTATGGGTGTACCATAACTTTAAACATCAACTTAACTGTCTAACAATTTGATTGTTAATTATAATGTAACTGCAAGCAATGATAGTATCAACATCTTAAAAGATAATCACATCTGCACAAAAATGACTTACTTCCAGAAGATCTTTTTCTAGAAGTGAAATTGTTAGGCGAAAGGTAAGTTTTTGAGAATCTTGGTATATATTACTCATCAGAAAGATGGTGCCCTTTTGAATTCCCACTAGCAATATATCAACCTCCCAGAATTGAAAATTGCTGTTTAAAATCTGCAAATTGAATAGTTGCTGAAAAGGAGTCCCTTTAAAATTTGTGTTTCTTTGATTATTTAATGAAGGTTGAGTGTTTTTTTGATGTTTATTCACCATTTATATACATTCTTTTGGGCATTGCATATTCATATCTTTCCTATATTCTCTTGGAGAGTTTGCAATTTTTATTGGTTTATAAGTTCTTTATAAATTAAGATGCTCATCTTTTGTTGTTACTGTTTTAGTGAGTTATTTGCCTTTTATTGTAGTGTATGGCATTTCACTGGAAGTTTTCTTTAGGATTCTGCCTTTGCAGGTGCACTTGAATATGCCTTCCCCACCCCCAAGATGGATCTATATTTATCCTTATTCTAGTTAAATTTAATTCAAAAGGACATTTTTGATCCATCTCAAATTTATTTGGGGATATTGTGTGAGGTGAGATTTAATTTTAATTTTTGCCAGTAGATCAGTTTGTTTAGAATTATAAGGCACCATTTCCCCACTGGTTTGCAATGCTGGCATAGAATATTTTTGTGCGTCTTGGACCTATTTTGTTTTCCCCACGCTTTTAAATAATTGTGGCTTTAATCATTGTTAATATTTGGTAGTACAAGTCCTCATACTTTTAAATGTTATGAAATATAACCTACCGAAAAGTAGGTAAAACAGGTGTTTGATCACGAAGCAGATGCAGAAAAGCTGCTGCCAGTGCTCCAGAGCCTCCTGTGTCGCCTCTTCCTGCTCCATCCCCGCAGAGGTAACTACTCTGGCTTTATGGTAGTACTTCTCTCCTCTTTAAACATGGTTTTAACACTTATGGATGCAACGATATGTTTAGTTTGTCTTGCTGACTTTTGATGTAAAAATAGAATCATAGTACGTTGTATCTGGTGTCTTTCAGTCAACATTGCTTATAAAATTCATGGCATGTGTAGGTATGTTTATTCATGCTCATTGCTGTTTAATGTGCCATTTCATTAATGACATTTTATTCTGCGATAGTCACACCTGTGATATTTTCAGTTTTTGGCTATTGTAAGCATTGCTGCAATGAGCATCTTTGTGCACATAAATTGCTGTAGGGTATTTACCAGGGAGCTGAAATAGAAAGTGTGCACTTTTCTTTACATCCTCACTGGAGGACATGCTTAGAGGAAGAGAGAGAGAGAGACATTGAGATGCCGATGTGAGAAAGAAACATCTATCAGTTGCCTTATGTAGGGGCCCCAACAGAGGGTCAAACCCAAAACCCAGGTATGTGCCCTGACCAGGAATTGAACTGGCAACCTTTTGATGCACAGGATGATGCTCAACCAATTGCGCCACTCAGTCCGGGCAGTGTGCACATCTTTAACATTGAATGTGCCCACCACCCCACATCCACCATGTATAAGAGTTCCAGCTTAGCAACACTTGATGTTGCCAGACTTTAATTTTAGGCAATATGATGTTTTTATAGATGTTCATTTTGCATTTCCCTAATTAGGAATAGCATTGAGCATCTTCAGATGTTTATTGGTCACTGGATTTCTTTTAAAAAGTGCCCATTCAAGTCTTCCCTCCATCTTTCTGTCATGTGTCAGCTGTGTTTTTCTGACTGATTTATAGGATGTACTTGAACCTAATCATTATTTGGTTATGTTTGTTATAAATATCCTTATCCTCTCTGGATTACTTTCCATTCTCTTCATGGTGTTTTAAATGAACAGAAATTCTAAAGTTTAATGGCAAGGCTAGCAATCTTTTATGTTTAGTGTCTTGTATCTTAAGGAATCATTGTCTATCCTGAAGTCAGGAAAATATTCTCTTACCTTTTAAAACTTTAGTTAAATGTTTTATAATTTTGCCTTTCCCATTACATCTTTGATTCCACTTGGAAATTATATGTGGCTGTGTGAGGAGGGATCCTGTGCAGCCACTTGTCCTGGTGCTATGCAGTGGCTGTGCTACTTTCTGGGTTCGCTGATTCCACTAATACATTTGTGTTGGTATTACACTGTGTTATTGATGACAGCTTTATGATAAGGCGGGAGGAAAGCCTGCCCTCCTATTCTTCAAGAGTGGACTGGGTATCTTTGGCTTTTTGCATTTTCATATAAATTTTAGAATCAGCTTGCCATGTTCCACACACACAAAAAAAACCCTCACACATACATGCAAAACACTTGCTAGCGTGAATCTCCATTAATTTTCAAAAAAATGTTTGGTATTCTGTCATTAATTAATTTTTTATTTCTAAAATTCTATATTTTGAAACTTAGAAGATTTGGAACCTTACCATTTATAAACTAAAGTATACTTACTTTTTCAACTAGGATGACTGATTTTAGTGGGTACAAGTTAAACAGAAAATTCAGAACACTTTTAGTGTATGTAGTGCATCGTTTCGATTGAGAAGTGTTAGCAAGTAAGGAAGTTTTTTTTTAAATTGCCAAATGCAGGTTTAAAACAGGAAAATGAGTGAATCTACAGTCATGAACTCTCACCTTCAATTTTCAAGTAATGGTTTAAGAGAAAGAAGTTAAATTCTCAAGGTTGGGACTTAACCCGAACCAGGGACTGTTAAGAGGACTAATCTCATCACATAATCATTATCTTACTTTTTTCATATTCATAGGACCTGTCGCATCCACATCACATTCTTCAGGCACCTAGGAGCTGTGAGTCAAGGTGGAAGGTAAATAGTTTGTGGAATTACCTCTGTTTCCTGAAACTGGAATGTTGAGGTGATTTGCTCAAGGTCTCTCAGAGGCAGCCAAGAATTCCGCCGGATTGCGTGACCTTGCACAGGAACACCGCACATCAAGCTTGCATTTGGGTTTTAAAAAGAGCTAATGCTAGGCCAGAGCTCAGACTGCCCTCAGGGTATTGGTCATGTCTCTATGACTTGCACTACAAAAGGGCTTTTTTTCTTTTGACAATTTTTTGTATTTGAAATGTTTTGTTTTTAACCATCTTAGAACTCTTAGACCATTTGGAGCACTGTTGGTGTCTTCATCCTCCCCTCCTCACCTGGTAGTTGGCTGCATACAACTTTTTGGAAAAGTGACATCAGGTGTCCTCAGCTTTATTCAGAGGACCGAGTGAAATCTGGCAGTTTATCCTTGGCAGGCGTCATAAGTTTGAAACACTAAAAAAGTCAAGTTGTTAGGGAAGAAAAGATTCTGTCTCTACGGGAAAAGCTGTGAGTGCCTGTGCTTAAATAAATAAGGATTATATGTCCAGCTTTTATGGAGAGCGTACAGAATCATCTAAGAAATATGGCAAACTGCATTATTGCCTAGCTCCTTGACAAGGAGGAGAAACATAAAGCTATTATTTTAATTTCTGGCTAAAGTGAGGAAGCTTTGATACTGGGCTGATGAAATAAACCTAGCATTGGGTAATACTGAACTGGAGCCAGACCACAAATCAGAAGCGATTCTGAAAGCACAGCATAAAAGCCTGAACAATTAAAGATGATCTATTACTTCCCAGATGATTTTAGAAAACTTGGAATAAAAAAAGGCGCAAAAAAAAAGGTGAGCCACTGAAATAGCATTAGATTATTAGATTTAGGATTTAAATGCCACTATTTCCTTCGACTCCAGTGGGAAGTTATGTACTCTCATGACTATTAAGTCTGTAAGATGAGGTCAGTGACCCCTTATCTAATGTATGGGGTATGTTTGGAGAGAACAAAATTTCAAAGTGTGGTCTTTGTGGAACACTTTGAGGTCTAAAAGAGAGTCTATGAAAACCTTATTGTAACGATGGTAACAATTATGACTGGAAGTAGGTTAGGAGGCACCTTTTGGCATATGAAGTAAAATGTTCTAAAATCACCACCATATGAAACTTTTAATTTAGTGTTAAAATTAACTGGGAACAATAGAAACTCCCTAAAAAAGCTATTTTGACAAGGGGAAATTAGGACATTAAGCTAAAGACAGACCAAGCTTCGTATGGAAAAATTTCATGTTATTAAGGCAAAAGAATGAGCGTTGTAAATCAAGTCCTCCCTCAGAGCACACAGAAATGCTCCTTAAAAGGTGGAGGAGACTCCGCTTGGTGCTTATAAATTTTGTCTGAAAATATTGCTAGTAAATACATCAGTTCTCTTAATCAGGACCATGTATATTTGTATTGAATTAAGTTGTTCTTCTAGTGATTGTGTTATGAAAATAAAAGCATATCTTCTATTGA